CAAAACATTTGAACTTAAATTTCATACATTTTCCATACAGTGTAGGAGTTGTATTAAAACCTGGAATACCGGACAAAGTAATTAAGAAATGTGCAAAATATACACCACTCGGAAGGATAGGTCAACCCATAGATATAGCCAAAGGAGTGGTATTTCTGGCCTCAACTGACGCTGAGTTCATAACCGGTCATAATCTGGTCATTGATGGCGGACTCAAGTATAACATGTATTCAGACATTGACTCAGACATTGAGAATGTCAATAATAATGTCGATTAGTCTATAATCTTATTAAACGTATTAATAGTTTAAAATATGAATTAAAAGAAAATATTAATTATGAAAATAAATGAATTTAATTAAATTGCATTTAAAACAAAATGTTCAGTTACTTCACAATTCATTCATTCATTTCTTGTCCAAAAGCTAATTAAAGAAATTCTCAATTCTGGGGAAAAACTGTTCGTCGAGTCGGAGAGTGGAGTCGATTAAAACTTATTAAACAAATGTCTGTTTAAAATAATTTTAAACAATTTTGACCACTATTCTAAAAATATTAAGCTAAATTTTAAATATAATATACTGTATTCATATAATTTATAAAATTTTAACAATAAAATATGAATTGATGAAAAATAATGTGTAAAATTATTATATAATAAAATTTGGCTAAAACAAAACTTATTAAATTATTGTTAAATTTTATGTAAGTATCTAGTATAATACAGTACTGTACTTTAATTTTAATAATCACAATTTAAGTTATAATAAATAATGTTAAATAGATTCAATAAGTCTAACAAGGGAATTTTAGTTCATTTACTCAATACTGTAATGATGATTGTGATAAGATAATTAAGAAATTACCAATCATACTCATAACCTATAGTCTACTGAGTAGACTCTACTCTATAATATTATCAGGAACATTCGAAATAAAATGCTCAACGAATCAAACTTTTATTGACTGATTTTTGTGAAAGTTTTCAATTTCTGTAATAAATAACTGAATTCTGGGGAAAAACTGTTCATCGAGTCGGAGAGTGGAGTGATTCCTACCGGAGACCCATAGGGGAGACACTGGATGTCTGCACCGCTTATACAGTGATATTCCGTGCGATATATCTATCACTTCGTCTTCTGTGCCGTGAATTATAAGGACTTCCCGTATAAGACAATAAGACAATAATTAATATAAAAATACACCTAGAGTAAACAAGTTAACGCTATAATACTCGGGCAATCGACTTTTGATATGAGCTCAATGTTGGGAAAGGGATCAAAGGTCCAAGTGTTTCCCGAGTAATCAAACATAGTCCTAATTCCGGACATCAGGGGCGCTTTGAGTATAACTCCGGCCATTGATATACTCGACGCCAAATGAATGGAGGGAACGGAACCAATACTCTCTCCCAATAGTATAATACGTTTACAATTCATGTGTTTATCGCAAACCAATGTCTTAACGACGGACTCAATATCGGCGTATAGATTGCGTTCAGACGGACGGCCACCACTCAGTCCATAACCCGAGTACTCATAGGCAAAGACATTACTCTCACATCTCTTGCCTAAGCGCCGTAAATACCTGAACCAGGGTCCTAAATCCATACCATTTGAGTGGCTGTAGACTATTGTGTATCTGAATTGTAAAATACATGTTATAAAAAGTAAACTGAAAGCCGTGTTACGACATACCTGTCCTTATTCTCCGCTGGCTTACGACTAAATTTAAATAATACACAAAAGAGTCGATTCCCTGACGAGGAGTTTGTGTAAAACCACTCCA